CAGTTCTCCATTCTGTAGCTTTCTAAACCACAATGAAAAAGCAGGTTGAACATCTCACTTTTTTTTTTAATCTCATTTTCCATTACCTATGATCTAACACCCTTCACCTTTTTCATGAAGAAAAGCTATACCAGAAGACCAATAAACAGAAGATGGGCTTGATTCTAGGGACAGGTTGTTTTTCAAAGTTAAGATTAAGCTCAGAGGAATCCGAAACTTCAATTACAAAAAGTTCAATAGCCATAAAAGAATTACCTGCTCAATACCAAGCTCCTTCTTGCCAATTTAAATAATTCTGGTATTTCTGAACCCCAGTTGTCAATTGAAGGCATCCATAAATCCTTAAGAAATTACCTGTGTCTGGAAAAACTTTAAAATTAAAAAAATAAATAACCTTAAGAATATAAAAAAAAGTTAGAAAGAAAACATTTACCCTTACAACTTGTTGGTTCTGGAAATACTTCCAAAGTGTTAGAGAAAAAATAAGACACTTTTATTGTCCTACTTTAAAAAATAGATTTTACCAACAATGTAAAATTTACTCTTAAAAGGCATCTTCTCAGATTTAACTTTCTACTTAATTATATACTTTGAAAAAATACTGAACAAAGAAATGACATTTAACTTGGCCACAACTCAAAAATGAATGTGAGGGAAAAAAAAAATGACAAGAACCCAAAGACCAAGACAAATTGACAATAAAGTCTCTCTTGATGTGGAAGGATCTATCCTAGCATGTTGAAATTTTTTTATATCTTTATTTATTTTTATGTGGTGCTGAGGCTAGAACCCAGTGCCTCACATGCGCAAAGCGCACGCTCTACCACTGAGCCACAACCCCAGCCCCAGCATGGTGAAATTTTGAAGCTAGAAGTTGCCATCTGAACACAATTCATTAGCGAACCAGTTTTTCTAATACAACAAATCATGGGAAGCATCATTAGCAATTTAAATCTGCACAAGAAATGGTATGGGAAATATCCCTTTTATCAAGTAGCAGTTGTCATTTCAATCTACCATCCTCTGTTATGCTATAATCAGTATTTATTTATTTAGTTATTGGGGATAGAACCCAGGGACACTCTACCACAGAGCTACATTCCCAGCCCTTTATCTTTTTTGAGACAACGTAGGAGGCTGGCCTCAAATTTTCCATCTCCAAAAAGAAACTGCCTCCTGAGTTGCTGGGATTACAGTGGCACCATGTCCACCTATAATCAATTTTAATCTAAAAGTCTATTTTCTATCTTTGCCCCATAAGTGAGAAGAAAAAAAACAAAGAAATGAGAAACCAAGAAATGGTGGATGAAACACAGAAATGCATGATACAGGCAGACTTTTGGAAATTTGCCAGCAGTTTTTTTCATTAACTCCCCCATTTAACTCATTTTTACATGCTAACACATCCCATGCATACACCTTTTTGTTAGAGAATTCAGAATGAATTATGGGTTAGGAAGCATGTCATGATCATATTCTGAGATATATGAGAGTCAGAAATGCTCAGGAAAAAAAATGGCAAATTGTACATCAGATTGGAAATGTTATCTCCCACATCAGCTGCCCAAAATTACAAGTGGATTTGTTTGTTGTTGCCTTTGGGTGTTTTTTATTGTGGTCACAGAACCTACTACTAATAAAAGAAATCTGTGTACTGTAGGTATAAGCATACTGATTTAACAAAAGCAGAAATTTTGAGTCAACTCAATTAAATTTTAAAGTAACAGAACGGAAAAGTTAAATTGTCATGGAAAATATTTAATTTCAGGGATAAGCATTTAGTTGGCATAGTACGCAGGAAAAAGGCATCATACTATTTAGTGAACTCCCAATTTCCTATAAAGTGTAATTATATAAAAATGTGCTTTTAATTACTTGTAATGCCTTATAACTTTCTTTTGCTTTAAATATTTAAAAATTTACTCTCAAAACGAGTAAATATAACATTCAGCATATGCCTCATCAAATCATTCATATGCCTTGGAAATCCCAAAAGGGAGCAAAAACCTCTATTATCACTGAGTTCATGTTTGTTATGAAAACCTACAAGCAACAACTGAAAACAGCATTGTCAGCACAAGGAATTCCTGCAAGGGTGATGGTATATCAAAAGGCTAACCACTCTTTTCTGATAGAATTTAAAAAAAAAAAAAATTAAAGGACTGTAAATTCAGCATCTGTGGTGTTTCCGGCAGGAAAACATTTTTAAAATTCCACCTCCAGTTTATTTCTTCATGGCACAGACCAAAGACCTCCTATCTAAATAGCTATCTCTTGCAACCACTTCATACAAAATGGAAATCTGTCACTGTGATAAAAAGTCAGGAGTTCTTTGTGTGTGTGTGGTGTGTGCGTGCGCTTAGAGATTGAACAGTTTTGTTTGTTGTTGGAGGAAAGTAGTAATTAGAAAGCAAAAATAAAAAAGAAAAAGAAATATGCCCACTATTCCAAAGGCAAACTATATTTGATTTTTTTTTTTTCTGGGCAATTCTTCTTTGAACATTTTAAGTTCCTGAGTACTAATAAACATGAATTGTAAAACAGTATACGTTAATTTTAAACAACAACAAAAAACCCACAACCCCATTTTATTTATATATTTTCTTTTAAGCCCATCAAGCTAGAAGCTCCCATCGTGTTTCCAACAAAAAGAAAATATTTGTATTACTAACTTGGACTGATGTGAAATATTAAAACCACCTTAGCAGAAATAGATTACTCAATAACATCCTTTTAAATGCTGCTGACCAATTCAGGAAATGAGACTATGAATGAGAAATCTGATTAAGAGTTAAAATTACCATTTAGTTCTTTAAAATGTACTAATGAATAATTAATAACAAATGCAGTTCTTTAGCTTCCCTTACAACAATATTCTCAAGTAGAACTGAAAGTAATGTCTGCAGTAAAATCTGTCATCTACATTATATGCACAGGTGGCACAGGAAGTATTCACACATAGGAAGACATTAAGGAAACATCCTCACTAGTATGTGGGCCATACAATAGCTGCGGTGCTTGGGTTTAAAAACTAAGCACAGCAAATTTTAAACTAGGACTTACAATATTCACAAATTAATACCAAACCAAAACTCCATACAAACCAGCTTTAAAACTCAAACGCATTAAGGAAATCCTTTGTTTCAATGATACTTTCCCATTAGACCCTAACTGGATTCCAGGCTTCTCTTTTGTGACATGGGGTTTTATTGATTTCAAACATGTTCACATTCAGAAATTAGTCTCCAAAGACACTTCATGGGATAGCCAGCCACCTAGACACCACACATCATACACATCTTTCAAAAGAACAAGAGCTCTGAATATCACTATTTGATCAGCAACATCAAGTTAACCAGGCTCTCTTCTAAACACTTTTCCTTTAAATGGTTTAAAAAAAAAAAACTAGACTATTGAATTAACAATAAACGTTTGATGAGTTAATAAACCTATGAAGGCACAGATCCAACCCAAGATTTCTCCCTTGTGTAGCTCTTCACTCATCCAACAAATGAGCGCTTAGCCAAGTGACCTATTTCCAGGTTACTTTCTTCGCACCTGCCAAGTTACTGTCCTGATTGAGAAACTTCTTGTCGAAGCAATTAATTTTTAGTGCCTCCTAACTGTCCCGGGTGTTTGTATTCAATTTGAAATCTGTTACTTGTTAGACACTGTTCGGTCCCAGATCTTTCAGAGAATTGCGAGTTTATGGCGCAGAGAGGGGAGGAGGCACGGATCTCGGAGAGCCTGCCCTTTATTCGGAAATGAGGAGATGTGAAAGGTGGAAGGCAGGGCAAATAAATAAATAAATCGGGTTTGCTGCCGGAGCGTTTGCCGGCCGGTTCGAGCACCCTTTGTAATGCAGGCCTCCCGGGGCTATCGCCTGCGCTAATTGCTCCAGGGCGCTTTCCAAGTTCAAAAGTTCACCTTTTACGACCTCACAAAAGCTCCTTACACGTTACCAATAAAAACATTCCGCCGCAAACACCGAGGGGGGAAAATATCAAACAGATACAAATAAAAAACCCTGCAGGAGGGGAGCCCCCAGGAACCTGAGGACACCAGGACCGGGGGGCAGGGGGAGGTTGGCAGGAGGAGTCCGGCCAGGTGAGGAATTCTTAGCGCCCGAGGACCTGGATCGAGCCAGGAAAGAGAACTAGGCTGGGCAAGTGCGGGCCGGGACGCGCCGGCAGACGCCAGGAAGAGGCAGGTGTCCCAGGCCCCCAGCCGGGCTAGACCTGAGCCAGCAGAAAGTGGCGGTTTAGCTAAAGAGGCTGAGCAGGGACGGAGGCAGGCAGGAGACTGCGGCCGACTGGGAAGGTGAGGCCGAGGCAGTAACAGGCACCAAGAGGTCCGAAAAAGGAAACGATGAGGATACCAATCAACAGGGGCTCCGCGCAGGGTGGGGGTGTAGGGGCTCGCGGTATTAAGAAGGGAAGCGCGGGGCTGTGGCATGGAAAAGGCTCCAGGAAGGTGGGGGAACCAGGGTGTGGCGTCGGGTCTGCAGGGCCAGGAGGAACCCGCGTGAGAGACCCCTAGTTGGAGGAAGGACTCTGGGAACCCGGAGAAGGCGGATGCCCCCACGAACGGGCCGCAAGCGTGGGGAGTGAGGTCCGCCAGAGGGGACGCAGGGGTAGGGGAGAGGAACCCGCGTGGGGGCCCGGGGATAGCGGGAAGGATTGGCACAGAGGGGTCGGGGGGGGGGGGGGGGGGGGCCTGTGCGGAGGGAACACCACCGGGGGGGGGAAGTGGAGCTCGGTGCCCAGGGAACCGGGCAGGGGGAAGGCCGCGCGGAGGGCAGCGGGAAGGGAAGGGGAGGGTCTGCAGCGAGAGAGACCCAGGAGGAGGAAGGGTCCGCGCTGAAGACCGGGGTGAAGGTCCACGCTGAGGAGCCGCTGCGGCTTCCCAGAGCTAAAGTCGGCCGAGAAGAGAGGACTCCCTGGAAGAGCGGGAGGAGGCCGGCCCTCGCCCGGCCAGGGCTCCGCAGGCCCCTCACCCACCGTTGCGCGGCGGCGGAGGGAGCGCGGCTGGCGGCTCTAGGAACCCCGCCGAGCCCCCGCCGCCTCCCCCTCCGCTAGGCGGCCGTTCGTCCCGCTCCATGCGGAGGTGCTCAGGGACCGCGCTGGGTTCGCTGTTCCGCCATGACCGGCGCACTCGTCGTCGTCGTCGTCGTCGTCCACCGGGGGGAGGGGGGCTGTCAGGAGCCGGCTGGCTACCGGCCGCGGCGCTCTCTGGGCCCCGAGCCACCCGGCTCCGCACCCCTCCGCGCCCCTCCGCGCCGCGCCCCCTCAGCACTGGCCAGCTCCTTCCCCTGACGTCACGCGCCGCTGCCACGCACGGCCCCGCGGGGCACGCTGGGAAGTGAAGTCCTTCTGGAGAGGCCGGCCACGCAGGACCTCACCAACCGAATGGGTACGAAGAAGAGTAAGCAGCCGTGAAAAAAGGAATCCAAGGCTTGTCGATAACACGAAACCTGGTAAAACTTCTGATAAATACTGAGTAAACGGTTGTTTCAGGGTCTTCTCTTTATTATGACATATCCGTGATCGAAGCGCTCGACGACTCCACTTATCCCCCTACCCCATCAATGAGTCTTCCCAAGGAGGTGGATCGAAAAGAAGCTGGGTGAGCACGTGCAAAGAAGCCCAGCCCTGTGGGCGGGGCCCCGAGGAGGCGGGGCCTGGAGGTATTCACTAAGGTCTTCCTCCTCCGCTGTGGGACAAATTGGACCGAAGATTAAAGGGCCGGAGTTTAACTCGGGGTGACTGCGTTCGTATGCAAATGAATCTATACAACTCTGCTTTCCGGGGTAGTGTTTAAAGCTTTTTACCTCCGGGTGGGCGGGAAAGAGTAAAGTTTCTCATCCTCTTCTTTCATTTTCCCCCTGCCCGTAGAACAGATGGACAAACTAAGCTCGGGGACATTGATTACCATTAAAGAAAACGTTAGGCTTTTAACTCCAGATGTCTTACAGCCCTCCATTTGAGTGGCCCCTTGCCCGGAGGACAAGCTCCTTTCCCTCTGCTCAGATTCCCTGTGAAATGAGGTTGGACTAGGCATGGGGTCCGGGTGAAAAATCCCCACACACACCCGGCCCAAGATTCTGAATTTTCCTGAGAGCATAATCCTGGATTTTCTCCGCTGCTCCCACCGGAGCACACCTCCAAGGGCCACCAGGTGGCGCGCGGCCACCGGCCTCTGGGCCTGCTAGGCTGTCTTTCAGCGACGCCCTCAGGAAAGTACTCTTTGCAGCTACTGACCAGGGTCTGAGCCCTACCTGGCCTGCTTGAGGACAAAGAACAAGAATACTGGTGCTTCCCCCGCCTCTCCGCTGGATTGTGCCGCAGCTTCCTCACTGGCGGCTCATTTCCCGCCCTCCCCTTGGCTTCCCTCCCCTTCCCTCCACTCCATCGCCCCGCCAGTTCTTTAGCTCCTCTGTGTGATTCCTTACGTTTAAATCCTTGTCCTGGCGTTTGCATTCCTTCCTGTTCTGACCCCGTCTACATTTCTTATCGCACCCCTTCCCTCACCTGCTACGCAAGTTTTGCAACGCTTTCCTAGTACTTGGGGGGTTACCAACATTGTGCTTCATTCTTTATCCTTTATCTGTGTTGACTACTGTTCTGAGAGATTTACATTAACATTTTGTTGCCTAAACCTCAGGGTCTCTCAAGGAGGTAGCCTAGTTATTGCCCTTATCATACACTGATGAAATCCCCTAGAGGTAAGATTCCAACCCCAGCTGGTCAGAAAGCTGGAATGCTGATTTCACCCATCCCACTCCCAATGCTTTTTCATCTTTATAGGTTGTTAAAATACTTCTTCAGTGGCACCTTCCTTAATACTTCCAACCAAGGAACAACTAGTTCTCCTCTATATTACCGCAAGGGTCTGTTGAACTCTGTGCAGACTGTAAGAAATGGTCTCAGTGATGACTTCCTCACCACCATTTCTGAGCTCCCCCAAGGGCAGGGAGCAATGCTGGCCTCTCCTACAAGGAGAGGAGATTCTGTAGCATTGGGGGAAAGAAGAAACAGAAGAGATGGATCCTCTGCGCTATTCCCTCAGCTCTGCCTTCTAAAATATATCAGAATTTTCCCATCTATCACAGGCTTCTGAACCTCCCAAAAGCCTTCCCAGATCCTCCTGACTACTCAAAGCTCTTTATTATCTCATCATTGTAACCCCAATTGCTGGCTGGATGAAAGGAATCAAAATAAATATACAAAGCAATGTAAGGTCTGTCTTAATAAATGGAACCTGTTACTAATGTTATTTAGAAAGTGATCCCAAGTCCCAGATACTGAAAATGCTTCTAGGAAGAATCAAAATACCACAGCACTGAGAAAAGCAAGGGGAATGTATACATAGACTCAGAAAGATGAAAAAGATTTCCCCCCAGCACCTGTAGTACTGAAGACAGAAGAGCTGGTAAGGAAAGAAAGAATAAGGATAGATCTGATGGGGAATGGTCCTGAGGCCAGAAGCAGACAAACAAACAGGACCAGAAAAGGATTCAGAAAAGAACAAGGCAGGCATCAGCGTCTTTAGGGGGAACTTATCCTATGGTGGAGGAGGCAGACATACACTAATCAAATCAGGAAATCACTCAAACCCACAATGGCATGAAAGTCTTACAATTGAGAACTCAGAAGTTCCAGATCCTGGGGGAATGTACAACAGGGCTCACTATAGTTGGTGGTGGCTTTCTGGGATAAGGAGCATTCAAATAAGGTGAAGAGAATGAGTAGGAGTGTGTCAGACTGGGTGGAGAGAAAGATATCCAGCTGAAGAAACAGCACAAGCAAAAGTTCCCAAAGGTAAGTCAGAGCTTGGCACATTTAAGGAAGTGGAAGATTCCATGGTTTTGGAACAAGAAGAGGGACACCCCAGATTACCATCAGGTTGTGTGGGACAATGGCCAGTAGGGGGCAGAACTCCTAGTGACAGCAGACTAGCCAACCTACTACTCTCCTAGAAATCCAGGCAACCAGGCTGCATTTGGGAGAAAGAGAACCTTTGCCTGGCTACATTTAAGTACGCTTTGTCTTTTTGGTTTTTGGTTTTTTAATAGGTAGGGAGCAAGTTGCAAAATCCACAGAATGCACAAAAAAAAAAAAAAAAGGTCTTCAACAGAAATTCTCCTGACTCCAGTTCTTGCCAACCAGATCCCCACTCCTTGGAGATAACCACCATATGAATATATTGTGTGCCCTTTCAGAGATCATCTGAGTACATAAAAACACAATATTTATTTTTCACATTAAGCCTGATTTTGACACCTCCCTATGAAGGAGATCTCTAGTTATAAAAGATCCTTAATTGTACTGAAAATTGTACTGAATGCCTCCTGTATGTGATTTTTTCTTTTTCTGTACTGAACTCAGGGGCACTTTTCCACTGAGCTACATCCCCAGATCGTTTTGGGTTTTTTTTTTTTATGGTTTTACCACTTATTGGGGTTTAGGGTTTTTATTTATTTATTTATTTATTTTTAGTTTTCGGTAAACACAACATCTTTATTTTATTTGTATATGGTGCTGAGGATCGAACCCAGCGCCCTGCGTATGCCAGGCAAACGCGCTACCACTTGAACCACATCCCCAGCCCCCCAGCTATTTTTTTTATTAGTTGCTCAAGACAATACAATGATCTTGACATATCATACATTTGATTCAAATGGGGTATGAATTCTTATTTTTCCACGTGTACAGATTGCAGGTTCACATTGGTTATACAGCCACGTTTATACATACAGCAATACTAGTGTCTGGGTTTTATTTGTTTTTCTTGAGACAGGGTTTCACTAAATTGCTGAGGCTGGTCTTGAATTGCAGTCCTTCTGCCTCAGCCTCCCGAGTTGCCCAGTTTAGAGGCATATAACTCTACATAGCCTACATGTGATTCCTTAAGTCGGCTGAGAGTCACTGAGAACTAGGTCATTGGTCCTCAAGCCCTGAAGAACTTTTGAATACATCTATTGCTGGGCTGCTGAACCTTTTTCTGATTCAGTAGCTGGGCTTAGACCTGAGAATCTTCATTTCTGACAAGTTCCCAAGTGACACTTGAGACTGTTGGCCAGGAAACCTCACTTTGATAATGGCTGAGTCAGCTACTCTTGGAAACAATGAAAGTGTGCACATTAATGACCTATTTCCTACAAGGGAAACTTATGTCAAACCAGAAAGGCAGTTCCATGGAGTGAAGAGAAAATGAAGATGGTGGGAAGCCGGGAGCTGGGGCGGTGGCAGCATCTAGGGCACAAGTAAATGTTCCTTTTAGTGCAACAGAAGTTTACAAGGCCAGGTAAGCACACAGCCAATCTGTCTTGAGCCCAGGAGAGTGACAAGTACACTGACTTGGTAGAGAAGGAAGAGGGAGGGGCTTCAGGCCCAAGGGGGTGTTCAGGGGAGGAAGGGCTTTCAAAAGACCGGGAAGGAGTCCCCTATGAAATAAGGAAAACCAAAGACAAACCAGGGCGAGGTTCAGGAAGGTGTGACTTGGGTGTCGGTTTAGGAAGGATGGAGAGGATTTGGTTACAGGGACGCAACAAGGCATCTTGGTGAAGAATTGAGACTGAAGACCCCCAGGGCGAGAAGATAAGCGGGGATCCTGAGACTTGGGCTGCCCCCGGACTGTTCTGGGGGGACAGGAAGAAGAGGGGGAGTTTAAAAGGTAGTTGGGGCTGGAGTTTCGGAGCCCACGGGAGGGTCGGAGAGGGAAGGGGCTGAGACTTGAGAAGACTAGAGTCAGCAGGGTCCCGGGGACAGAAGGGGGATGGCTTGAGAGAGCGCAAGGGCTCATCTGCTGGGAACATCGTTCTTTGGAACTTCACAGCCCCTCCAGAAGGGCGATTTTCTCCATTTTACCTCGGGGAAACTGACGCTCAAATTGGTTAAGGGACACTTCCAAGGTCCTTCATCTCACAGAATAGGACCTCGACCTGTATGGGACTCCCCTTTCTGGCCTCGCTCTCCTGCGGGCTCGGAACCGGACTCTTGTTTGCGTCCTGGTAGGGATGCCCTTCGGAAAGCCACGGGATGGCAGGGAGGCCCCGCGCGGGCGGGGCGGGAACCCCTCCGCCTTAGCTCCGCCCCAGCGGCGCCGAGGGGGTTCGGGGCGGGGAGCTGGAGCAGAGCGCGGCGAGCGGGGCGGCAGAGCCGGCTGCGCAGCGGAGCTTGCTGTGCTGTCCGAGCTTCCCAGCGTCCGCTCCCGGCCGCGGTGCCTGGGTGCCATGGCCGCGGCCGCCCTCCTGCCCCGGCCGATGGCCCTGCTCCTGCTGCCGCTGTTGCTGCTTCTGCTGCGGGCTGACCCGGTGCTTGCCAACAGTAAGGTATGCGCGCCCCTCCGACCTGCCGCAGCTGGGAGAGGTTCCGTGCGAGGAGCGTGGTGCTGGGGGTGCCGGCCAAGGAGGGTGCAACCCGCAGGGTGTTGAGGACCCAGAAAAGGGGAGATCTGACCTGGGATTTAGCAAGGAAGCTATGGGAGCGAGGACCTTGGGAGAGGATCATGTGCGGGAAGAAGCGCTGGAGAGGATGGGGTGCTTGGGACCCGGAGCCTAAGGAAGGGGTGCTGATACCCAATTGGATGTGTGGAGGAAGTCAGCGCTGAAATCCAGAACCAAGGGGGGGATTCCCAGGAGCTCTGGGCAGGGACAGCGCAGAAACTGGCCCCGGGTTTCCACGGGAGGCTGACCACGTGGGGGCAGACCCCAGGGCAACTGTTACCCAGCAACCCTCAAGTTTGTGGTGGGCGCTAAGTCAAGGCTCTCTGGCCGGGGATAGGGACCCAGAATCCTTCCCAGTGAACACATCTGGGCTTTCCACTGGCCTGGCCCTGATGCTGTTTGTTGCCAGGAGTCGGTTGCACTCTCTGGAGGATGAGGCATCTCCAGAAGTGACCTAAACTATTCCCTGCTCCCGTGTCAGGCACACCTGAATTTAAATCGCATACCTTCCCTCAGCTGGTGCCTTTATCTCTCTGAGCCCCCATTTCTTCACCTGTAAACATGGGAAGAAAAATAGTACCCACTCCCTGCTGTTGATGATCTCTAGATTCCATGAGATTATACCTGTAAAATGCTTAGCAGCACAACTGGAACCTAGTAGGTGCTCAATAAATGATTCTGTAATTATGGAATCTTATCATAGGGATCCCAAAAGGGGGTGGGAGATCCAGAATGTACAGAGAGAAAGCACTTAGAGTCAGTGAGAGCAGGGCTCCCTTAAGGGTGTTTTGAAAATGACCTGATGAAGATGAGCCTGAAAGAAAAAGAGATCCTTAGGGCCCTGTTCACAGGACATGAAGGCTAGAGTGACTTCTCTGAATGTCATTCCAGCCTCTTTCCTAGTGGAAGTGGATCTGCTCTGCCCATAGGCAGGTAAAAGGCAGAAGCTTTTCTTTTGCTGTGTAACCTTGGACAAATCACTGCCTATCTCTGGGTTTCATTTCCCCCATCTGAAAAACAACACCCCCCCCCCACTTCTTTTCCATCTGAGGCCCTTTATGACTCAAGTAGGAGAGCTCAGGTAAGAGAACAAGAACAGAAAATCCCAAATAACCTGATCAGTACTTTGTCACCTCTTGCTTCTCTGATCTTTGACTGGGAGGGCATTCTCTGAGCTATGCAGAGGGCTGTAGTTTGTAGGGAGGGCTCACATCCAAAACAAAGCAAAGACAAAGAAAACCCAACACCCTGTTTATGTAGTGAGTCAGCCAAACACTTGCTAGGTTGGGGGGGGGGGGGTGTTTAGTTGTCCTAGGGCAAGCCAGGGCTGGTGGGGTGGGGAGGCACATCCAAGAGTTGGGAGGATGAAGCAGCTGGGGGACCCAGCACAGCCCTCCCCCAGACACTTCCCACCCATGTGCCACTTCAGCCAGCTGGGAAAAATAAAAATCAAGTGATGGGTGAATGTACTCTGCATTCCTTAGCCTGGCCAGACTCCTGCAGGCTCTGAGAGAGCTGTTTTCATTATCACCACCGCTTCCCCCATAATAGCCCCTCCTTCCTCTCTGAGCCTGTCCTATTTTCCCCCCGGTTGGTGGGGAGCCCAGCTTGGACCTTGAAGTGGATTAGCACTCTAAAGGGTTAAATTGACCTCTCTTCAGGCAGAATTCCTGATCAGGAGGTCCAGTCTCCCCTCCTGTCCAGAACCTTTAGGGATGCAGGGACAACTCACTCCCAGGAATCACCAAGGAACTCTGTCGGTATCTCCTCTGCCAGCTTCTTGCTCACTGTGTTTTAATTTCACATTTATAGCAATGTGTGTCCTAAATAGAATTCGGAGTTTCCATCTAAGGAAGTGCTTTGTCTAGCCTGGGAGTAGGAAAGGGAGTTCACTGCTTCCCCAGCATTTCTGAAGGGCTGCCCAGCTTGGAGATTGGGATGGAAGGACAGGTAACCACACGACACCCAGTAATGGCACCAAAGACCCCAGGGAACCTGCTTGGATAGGGCTGAGAATTCCCCTTTTTACCTCAGCTTTCACATCTGCAGAAGGGGTACTGCACCTTACTTCCTGCATGCATTAGAGAGTGTCTGTTCATCCCTCTGTCCAGGATCCTGGAGGCAGAGCGAAGGCCAAGGGCTGTGGGAGCCAGACCAGGGGAGCAGGAGGGGCTGGAGCAGGCAAGCTGTGATGTCCCAGGCTGGGTCAGATGTTCCAGGCCCGTCCCAGGGGCTTAGGTGTTGCTTCTTGTCTGCTCCCAGAGTTTCCGCCTGTGGGTGTAATTGGAAGCAGGCTCCTGAGCTGGGAGAGCGGCTGAGTGAGGGAGTCTTCCTCCTGTTTCCAATGCATGAGGCCAGTCCCCACCGGGGCTCTGCAGGGAAGGTCTTACCCAACACCCTGACTGACTGGGACACAAGAACAAAGCCCTGAGGAGTATTCCGTGTCGAAAACCCTGTGCCCAGCGCTTACATTCACAATCATGCACAATCTGCCAACATGCTGAGGCGCTCATGGACCCTTCATATCCGATGGACTTGAGCCCTAAACAGAGTCAACTGGGGCTGCTTGGGTATCAACAGAGGGAACGTGAGAGTTTGGAGATTCCTAGAGCTTCAAGATTCTTGGCATTTAGTTCTCATCCAAATGGCCTAGGGAGCCTGAAAAAGTCTGAATCAGGGGGTGGCAAGTAGGGTCAAGACATCTGCATTTTCCAAGTGCACCCCAAGTCATTCTGAGGCATGACCCACTGTTTAGAACTTGTGGGGGTGATAGGGAGCTACAGAGGTTTGTGGAGCAAAAGAGTAACACTGATCATCAAAGAAGAGTGTTGGAAGATGAACTGAGAAGAAGCTCCCCTATTGGTTGTCCAGACAACATTCATGTGGCCTGACTTAGGGCTGTGTCCCTGGAGTAGACAGAGGTAGGAGACACTTAGGGTGAAGACCCTGAAGAACATGGTGACTGACAGGTCATGTAGGGAACAAAAGAAATCCAGAAATCCAGGTTGGGCAGGAAGGTAGGTGGGCACAGGTTTGGGAGAAGAAGGCTGGATGGATGTTGGTCTTGGATGGATCAAGTTTTCTGTGCCTCTGGGATCCAGGAGAGGTGTCCAGTGACAGTGGGCTCCAGGGGGAGGCTTTGCGTGGAAACTGTCTCACCCGGCTGGGCTGCTCTAAGAGCCAAGGGCAGCCCCAACCTCAACATGACAGCATTCGAGCCTGTTCCCCTACTGCTAGAACATTCCACAGCTTAAACCCTCCCTTCCCACTCTGGTCAGATTTATACATCTCTTCTTCAGAAAAATCTCAAGTACACCCTCTTGCCATCTCGTTGTGAGATTTCCTTGGACATTTTTCAGCATAAAAACCGCCTAGGGGCTTTGGCAGCAGCACAGAGCACGGCTACAGGAGGAGGGCGACTGAGGCAGGAACTTCCTACCTGGCTGCAACTCTAGTCTTCCTGCCAAGGCAGGGTGGGTCAGGCCCAGGGAAGCCCTAGCCCCTATTCCCCCCAGGGCCCTTGCTCTGCAGACCCATCTGTCCCAGCTCAGTTGCTGGGGAGAAGCCCTTGTCTGGTGACTGTGGGTGGTCCTGGGAGGGACGACATGTAAACCAGATTTTGGAACCTGGTTGTGCTGTGCAACCCTGGGCAAGCCCCTAGTCTTCTCTGACACTCAGCTTCTCTATTCCTAAGATGGGGTTGTGGTGATAGCAGAGAGGGATAGAAAGGGCTGGGCTGGGGCTCATGATAACAGCGCTTACGTAGCATGTGTGAGGCCCTGGGTTCCAGCCTCAGCACCACATATAAATAAATAATAAATAAAATAAAAGATCTATTGACAACTAAAAAATATTTTTTAAAAAGAGGGATAGAAAACGATGGGTGAAGATGAGGGAGGGTTTTCAGCGGCCAAAGCAGGTACCTTTCAGAGAAGTTATTCTGTGCCAGATCCCTGCCCGCTGCTCTGGGTGCACCAATGGTTTTCAGACTCCCCAACTTAAAAATGGCACTATGCTGTCCCCAGTTCAGTTTCGCGGGATGTGCCTGGACTCCTGGCCGCCAGGGCTGGGAGCAGAGGACCTCTTCCAACTCCTGGCCTGTGTCAGGGCCTTGGCCGCCCCCAGCAGGACATAGCAGCTCATCTGGGGAGGGAAGGAATGTAGCAGCCTAATGTGGAGGCTGCTGCTGGTGGGGTGGGTGTTGGGTAGGCGGGTCCTGGGGAGGCCTCTCTGGCCTGACCACACAGCACACAACCACATTTATCTGCTGGTCTTGTTTTAGGACCCGGGATTGAACCCAGGAGCACTTAAGCACTGAACCACGTCCCCAGCCCATTTTTATATTTTATTTAGAGACAGGGTCTTGCCAAGTTGCTTAGAGCCTCACTAAGTTCCTGAGGCTGACCTTAAACTCACGATCCTCCTGCCTCAGCCTCAGCTGAGTTGCTGGGATGACAGGCATGTGTCACTGAGCCTTGCCCTACTGGGCTCTTGACCCCATCTTGGGACTGGCAAGAAAAGGCAGGGTTAGGGCACTCCCAGAAGCCTAGAGAATCCACAGGCTCCCAAGTCTCGCTGTCAGTGTTCACAGGCAGGAGAGACTTGACCCACAGTGGCCAGGACACACTCCTTCCACCCCCCCCCCCACTCTCCCCTCCTCCTGCATAGCTGCAGAGAGCAGGGAAGTCCACACAACTAGGGCTCATCCTCTCATTTGATGGCTCCAGAACTGTCTCCTTGCCTGTAGGATGCTGCTAAAAATAGAAGAATGAATGAAAGAAAGAAAGAAAATATCTGCCACTCCCACAGAGAAATGAACAGCCAACGCCCGATAGGACTACTGACAGTGAGAATGACAGCTGCAGTATAGGTGATACCCTGTGTGCTCTGGGACTCCATCTCAGTCCTCACACAGACCTTTGTTGGGTAAGCACTAGTAACACCCCCATTTTACAGATGAGGAAATGAAGGCCCAGAGATATTAAGTAATCCCTCCAAGAGCACACAGCTGTAGGTGGCCCATGACTGTGTTCTACCACTGCCCCAATGCTGAAGGAGTGCTCCAGAAATGCCGGCTGGGCTGCTGCGTGTCCTGAGCTTGCTGCGCATATCTGCCATCTGTCCCCGCAGCAGCCTGAGTGAGCTTCCTGTGGTGTGGATCTGACCTTGGTTCTCTGCTGTTTAAAATCCTTCCGAGGCTCCCTAGTGTTTCCAGAAAAATGCCAAGATCCTCAGCCAGCGTAGGACCCTCCAAGAACTGGGCTCTGCCACTCACACCAGCCTCACCTCCTGCCACCCTGGCCCCCAAAGACACAAGCCAGAGTGAGCCACCTCTAGGCCCCCGGAGAGCCAAGCCCTTGGGTGTTTTCACTTGTCTGATTGACTTCCCAGAATGCCCTTGTCCCCCTGAGAGACGTCCTCCAAAGGGGCCCTCCTCTGAGTTGTCTGCTCTCAGAGTTCACCCAGACACTTCTCCAAGGCTGCGAAGGTCAAGAGGATGCCTCAATCTCTTTCTTCTGTACCCCTAGCTAGCACCCAGGGCCTGGCAGAGACCAGGGGCTCAAATAGATGACTGAGCAAAAGTGGGGTACCCAAGGCCCTCCCAGAAGGGCCCGGGACACCCACAGCCCTGGGCTTGGCAGAAAGCCCGAGGGAGCCACAAGCTCACTTGAGTCCTGGGGGCCTTCGGGAAAAGCCAAGCAGCCCCAAGGCCAGCAAAGTTTGTTGACTGAGCCATGAATAATGGTCAAGGTCCCAGAGCCCAGTGTGGGCAGCTGGGCCAGCTAGGGGGGAGGCTGCCCAGGGGCCCAGGGCCCAGAGGTGTGTCAGGGCAAGGCAGGCTGCGGGACGCCCTAGGCTGACTCCCACAGGCACAAAGCCCTGCTGCCCCCAGTGAACAGTGAGCAGCACACCTGGACGGTGTGTTCAGTGTGTCCCCCCAGGAGGGGGCTGAAAGAAAAGGGAAGGGCTGGGGCTGGGGACTTGGCTCAAGTAGTAGCGCACTCTCCTGGCATGCGTGAGGCACTGGGTTCGATCCTCAGCACCACATAAAAATAAAATAAAGATATTGTGTCCACCTAAAGCTAAAACTTAAATATTAAAAAAAAAAGAAAGAAAGAAAAGGGAAGGGCTGATGTCATCTGGTTTGATCCCCACCATGAGGAAGCTGGCTATGGAGAATCCTCCATTTTTACCACAGGAAGGAACAAGGCTCAGCAAGGTTGTGTAACACATTTCAAGTCACTCAGGACATGGGGAATGAGTCAGTAAGAGAAGTAGTATGGGGTTTGTGGATTGTATTCTGGAACCAGATCTTCTACATCAGAGGTGTGTGACCTCAAGCCTGTGACTCACTCCGCTGAACCTGTTTTTTTAACCTACGTTACTGACAGTACGTAGAGAAGGCACACTTCAGACATGCTGGGCCCTGTCCTACAGCTGCATGAACTCACCTTCATAACAGCCCCAGAGGCAGTAGCCCATGTTACAGATGAGGAACTTAGGCACAGAAAGGTGGAGTTGCCCACGGTCTCCCCGGGCTCCAGGCTCCAGGCACCCGCCCTGATGCTCTCTGGCTTCTCTATGGAAGGTGGCCTGCTTGTCCAGCAGGTACTTGTGGAGCTCCTACTCTCAGCAGAGGTCAAGTAGGCACGGTTGGGGTACAGGAGAGCACTAGACACAGCACCTATCTTTAAATAATATTTTTTTTTGTTGGTGCTGGAGATGGGACTCAGGGCCACCAACTTGCTAGACAGGCACTCTGCTACCGAACCAAACTCCCAGCCAAACCCTGTCTCTAATGTTGCCTATAAAAGAGAAGGAAAGAAAGAAAATAAGCAAATAGAGGTACAATATTTCAGGTGGTCACATAATGAAAAACAAAGACTGAATAAGGCCATAAAGAATAGTTAGGGGAGGTTTCTCAGAGGTGACGCGTGAGCAGAGAAATAAGCAGCATAATGGAACAAACCAGGGGAATGTGAAAGGGATGAGGTTTTAGGGTGACAGCATTACATATGCAAAGGACCGTAGGCTGAAGTGGAGTAAGCCATCAGAAGGGAAGGGCAGTAAGAAGAGAGATTAGAGCAAGAGCATTAGGTCACATGGTTAGGACTTGGGAGGTAATGATACCCTCACATATGTATTATTAAAGGACATAATGCCTGTAAAACCTAGGATGCAGTAAGTGCTCAATTAAAGATTTTCCTACTTTATCATTGTGAAAAAAACACATAAAATACATAAATATTACATTTTAGAAAAGTAACATAAAAATTACCATTTTATGCTAGGCATGATGATGTAGGCTTGTAATCCTGGTGTCTTGGAAGATTGAGGTAGGAGGATTGCAAGGTCAAGGTCAGCCTTGACAATTTATCAAGATCCTGTCTTAAAATAAAAATTTAAAAGGACTGGGGATGTGGCTCAGTGGTAGAGCATGCTGGGTTCAATTCCCAGTACTATTTAAAAAAAAAAAAAAGTATATAGTTTAGTGGGAGGTGCACCGGTGCATTCACAGTGTTGTGTGAGCATCACCACTCTGTAGTTCCAGAAAATTTTTATCACCCCAAAAAGAAATCTTGTTAAATGCCACTCCCATTTCTCTCTCCCTCTGAATCCTTCCAACTGCTAGTCTGCTTTCTGTCTTTCTGGATTTGCCTATTCTGGATATTTCATATAAATGGAATTGTACAATATGTCACCTTTCATGTCTGGCTTCTTTCACTTACCATTATGTTTTCAAGGCTCATCTGTGTTGCAGCCTGAATCAGTACCCCACTTCTTTTTATGGCTGAGTGATATTTAATTGTGTCTACATACCACATTTTGTTTAACTATTCAGTGGCTGGAATGTGTGTTGTGTTCATTCTGTGTCTGTTTGAATAATGCTGCTATGAATGTTCACACAGGTCTTTGGATACCTGTTTTCCAAACAAAGAATTATTGCATCAGCCAGGAGCAGTGACACATGACCTCAGAGGCTGAGACAAGAGGATCACAGGATCAAGGCCAGCCTCAGCAATTTAGCAAGGTCTTGGGCAATTTAACAAGACCCTGGCTCAAAATAATAAATAAAAAGATCTGGGGGGTATATCTCAGTGGTAGAATGCTCCTCTGTTCCATCCCCAATACAAAAAAATAAAAAAATCTTATAGTAATTCTGTTTGACTTATTGAAGACCCACCAGACTTTTCCATAGCAGCCATTAATAGTAATAGTAGCAATAATAGCAATGTTATTATTATTATTATTATTATTATTATTATCATCATCATTATTGATTAAAGCCTGTTGGGCTCTACTCCTGAATTATACCCCAGCACTTTTATTTATTTATTTTAAAATTTTTGGTACTAGGGAGGAAACCCAGGGGTGCTTAACATTCTTTTTTTGCGTTTTATTTAGAGACAGGGTCCCACTGAGTTACTTAGGACCTCACTAAGTTGCTGAGGCTGGCTTTGAACTCAAGATCCTCCTGCCTCAGGCTCCCAAGACACTGGGATTACAGGTGTGCGCAACCACGCCCAGCTTATTTTTTGTTTTAAGGCAACAGTCTGCCTAAATTACCGAAGTCTCAGATTTGCAATCCTCAAGATGGGAAGATCTTCCAGGTTCTTAGATAGACAGAATTTGCAATCCTGCTGCCTTGGCCTCCCAGGTTGCTGGGTGACAGCTGCGCAGACACATAAGGGCCCTATTTCCCTGCAGGGGCTGCCCCCCCTCCCCGCCCGCACCACCACCTTTACCCCCCGCCCCCCATCAGGCCAGCCGGGCTGGATCCTGCTCACCCCACGGCACTGGCTGACGTCGCGCGGAGCCCCCTGACTCCTTCATCCCCACAGGTGTTCGGTGACCTGGACCAGGTGCGGATGACGTCGGAGGGCTCGGACTGCCGTTGCAAGTGCATCATGCGACCGCTGAGCAAGGACGCGTGCAGCCGGGTGCGCAGCGGACGCGCGAGGGTGGAGGACTTCTACACCGTGGAGACCCTGAGCTCGGGCACCGACTGCCGCTGCTCCTGCACCGCGCCGCCCTCCTCGCTCAACCCCTGCGAGAACGAGTGGAAGATGGAGAAACTCAAAAGGCAGGCACCTGAGCTCCTCAAGGTAGGCGTGGAGGGGCCAGGGAGGTGGTGCCAGGCGTCCTTCGGTGACAGCGCACCACCTTCTGGGAGGCAAGTGCTGTTACCACCCCATTTCACAGATCAGGAAACTGAAGCTCCCCAGGGAGAACTCACTTCTTGCCCACGACTGTTCAGCCAAACTCCTTTTATAAGTCATTTCTCCGAAAGCTTAGACCATTCTGTGACATGTGAGATGATCGTCTTCATCTTATGATTTGGAAAACTGGAGGTTTCGAGGAGCTAGGTAACTTGTCACCCAGTGACAGGCAGCCTCTGTCTACACAGGTTGAACCTCCCTAATCTGAAAATCCAAAATCTGAAATGTTCCACAACCTGAAACTTTTGAGATTCCACAAGTGGAAAATTCTATACCGTGAAACTTTGTTTCCTGAACAAATTATTTAAAATATTATATAAAATTACCTTCAGCTATATGTGTAAAGTGTCTGTGAAACAGAATGAATTTTGTGTTTAGATTTGGGTTCCATCCCCAAGCCGTGTATTTGCAAATATTACAAAATCCCCCCAAAAAACCAAAATCCAAATACAAAACGTTCTGGTCCCAAGCATTTCTGATAAGGGACACTCCACTTCTGTGTGAATTAGAAACTGCATCCCCATAGGCAGATTCAAGAGAGGTCCCATTTCTGGGAGAGCCAGCACCAGGGTGAGGGCCCACCACTAGGCCCAAGGATAGGTGTGTTCTGGGTACATCTCAGTCCCCACTGCCAGCCAGATGCCTCTGTGCCATTCATACCAAACCCAGCAGGGCACTCAGTAAGACTGATGGGGCTGGGATTGGAACTGAGGTTCTACTATGTCCAGAGCAGGTGCTTCAAGGGCTTTTCTCTTTCTTCTCTTGAAAAGGGCCAGATTGTTGGCATCTTTTCAAAGTATCTTTTTCAACTCCTTCCAAACATGTGTCTGTTTTGCCTGTTTGGTGTCACAAAGCATGCAAGATTACCCTGCCTGTGAGCTAACAAGTTAACCTGACAGTTTCATAGACATTGGCAGAAGACTCAAGCCTCCTGGGTCCAAGACAAAGGATCTTACTACTCACAGCAATTTTTTATTTTTATTTTTATTATTAGTAGTACTGAGGATTTAGCCTAGGGGCACTTTACCACTGAGCCACAAGCCCAATTCTTTTGTGTTTTCATTTTTTTTAATATTTATTTTTTAGGTGTAGATGGACACAACACAATCCCTTTATTTTTATGTGGTGCTGAGATCGAACCGGGGTCCTGCCCATGCTAGGCGAGCACTCTACCGCTGAGCCACAATCCCAGCCCTGGGTTTTCGTTTTGACACAAGGTCTCCCTAAGTTCCTTAGAGCTTTGCTAAATTGGTAAGACTGGCCTCAAATTTGTGATCCTCCTGCCTCAGCCTCTGGATCCACTGGGATTACTGGCCACTGTATCCGGCCAGCAAATATTTTCTTGCACTGGTTTCCCAGCTCAAGTTTCCATGGGGTGATGCAGTTAGAGGCAGATTACCCACAGCACACACAGGGAGCAGTGTTATAGAGAAGAGCCCTGAGTTAAGGAAATCTGAACCTTTTATAATTTTCTAGAGGGAAATGCTCTGCTCTTACCTTCTTCCAGAGCTGTTTCCTATACAACGAGATGGCTGGGAACAAAGACAGCTCCTCTGTGTGCAAGACGTGCAGAAAAGCAAGAGACCCTGAAAACTTGTCTCCAATGCTGGACATGGTGTCTCAGCTGCTCAGGAGGCTGAGGCAGGAGAATCACAAGTTTAGCAACTTAGTGAGAGGCTGTGTCAAAACAAAAATATAAAAAGGACTGGGAATGTATCTCAGTGGTAAATCTCTAGTAACCCCCACCCAAAAAAAATAAAGAGAAAGAGAAAATTGTCTCACAGCAATTGGCTAAGAATTGTTTTCTTTAATTTTACCTTTAGATTTATTTTCATAACACCTAACCTGACAGTTTCATGGATGTTGCATGCCAAATATTTACAAAATTGGAGGGGGAAGGTGAATTTTAGGCCTCCTGACAGTTTGACAGTCACTGAACCACACTGTCTTCCTGGAAATTCCCAAGCAACTTCAGCCACTCAGGCCACAGACTTGTCTTCATTTACAGGGACAAATTCAATTCCTATTCCAGTCGGCGTCTCAGTAACTGAATCATAAAGATGCTTGACATGAAGACACACAAAGCTCTTTTCATGAACACTAGCTACTTTAATCCTTGCCGCAACCCTTGGAAAAGGGAACTTATGGTGCCAGCTTTACTTGTAAGGGACTCTGAGGCCCAGAGAGGGGTTATGACTTGCCTAAGATCACACAGCAAGAGAGTGACAGTACTAAGATTTGAAGCAGGGAATTCCCTGTAGCATCCCCTTGCCCACAAGAGAGGTCACAGGCAGCTCTCTCACCCAGGAGCCTTCTCTACCAGGCCATTGTCCCTTAGGCCTTCTCATGCCCTGCAGACATGGGGGACTTGACTCAGCCCTGGAGAGCTGGGTGAGAGTAGGGTGAAGGTGGACTGACTGAGCAGGTGGGGCCAGAGCAGGCCGAGGGGATCCCACCTCACTGAGCTCACAGGGCAGGAGTGAGTGCCGAGGGTACCCACTGGACCCCAGGAGGAGAAAGGGGCAAGGTACTGGCTTCTCCCATTCAGTGTGGCCCCCCCTTGGCAGGAGGCTCTCTGAAACATCCCGGGGGGCCCTCAGCTGGGCACCTGCCTGCATCGCCCTCCTCCCCTCAAGGGGGTAGCTCCAGCTGGGACCTGGCCTCCTGCAGGGCTCTGCGCCACTCCCTCCAGATCAGGTTGGTGGCCTCCTCTCCTCTACTCCTTGCCTTCCGGTCATGGGGCACACGTGGCCTAGCCTTGAGGAGTCCCCAGGCTTGTCAGGACACAGCTACTGACCCCAAGAAGGCAGCGTGTTCAGTACTGGGCCAGGGATGTCCCAGGGACTGAGAGAGCCGCAAGCAGGGGATAACCTTGGATGGGCCTTGAAGGATGTGTAGGAGTTCCTCAGGCAGAGAAGTGAGGCCATTCTGGACAGGGCCAGTGGAGTACATGTGACAGAGGCCTCCCTGCCCTCTCTGCCCCAGCCCTGCTGGCCTCCTGTCACTTCCTCTTATACAGTGTTTCTCAAACTATCTGCAGTGAAGGATCACCTGGTTTTTGTTTTTTGTTTTGAACCCAGGGGTGCTTAACCACTGAGCCACATCCCCAGCTCCTCCCCCCGCTTCTTTTAAAGAAAGAGAGAGAGAGAGAGAGAGAATTTTTTAATATTTATTTTTTAGTTTTTTTTTTTTTTATGGACACAACATCTTTATTTCATTTTTTTTTTAATGTGGTGCTGAGGATCGAACCCAGCGCCCCTCGCCTGTACCGCTTGAGCCACATCCCCAGCCCCTCCTCCCCTTTTTTTGATAGACAGGCTCTCACTAAGTTGCCTAGCACCTGGTAATTTGCTGAGGCTGGCCTCGTACTTGTAATCCTCCTCCCCCAGCCTCCCAAGTCGCTGGGTTTACAGGCATGGACCACCACACCTGGCTGACTTTTAAAAAAGAAAATAAAAAAAAATCTGTCAAAGACAATATTTTTGTAAAACACCAATGAGTTATCAGAAAAATGAACCAAAACAAAGACAGACATGCCAAATGTAAGCCAGTGTTTTCTTGAGTCCACAAATATACAGCTGCTCTGTCAAGTGGCTGTAAAGCTTTCTAAGAAGCTGTCTCGTGTTCTGTAATCATTTTATTAGAGACGTAGTGGGCAGTTTGAACCCGCGCTAGTCACAGGACACACTCGGAGCAGCCTGCTGCAGCACACTGTGTCTCTCCTCACCTCCAGCGCGTGGCACACGCTGTACCCTTTGCTCGGAATGTCCTTTCTGGGACATTTCAGCCGGATGTGGGCTCCTCTGTCAGAGCTTGGCTCCAACAAAGCCTCCCCAGCAGCCTTTCCTAATCCACACCCAGCTCCAGACAAAGTCGGCCCCTCACCATGAGTGATCTGGGCATCCATGTGTCACTGCCTGTGTCCCCTGTTCTGGGTGCCTGTGTGTCACCGCCTGTGTCTTTGTCTGTAGAGGACGCTGGGGGCTCAAGTCATCTTGTTCATCTCTGTACGTGACTCAGTGTAAACTTGTGCTGATCGTGAAGAGGGGGGCAGGGGCGTATCAAATGCCAGGCTCAGGAGGAGGGACACCATATGCGGGAGAGACCCTTGTCAAAACTAGTTTCAGAGGCCGTGAAGGCACAGAGTGAGGCTGGGAGCTGCCCATTTGCCCCCTGGAATAGTGACGGTGGCACTGGTGTTCAGAAGTCCTTGCTGTGTGCCCAGCTGGGCTCAGCTCAGCACAGAGTCCCCACTCCTTACCACAGCCCTACTGCCCCATCTCACAGCAAAGGACCCTGATGCAGGGCTCTCCAGCTGTGCTCCACAGCGCCTGGGGGTGCTGGGCAACCCCCCAGGGCCAGAGTGAGGTTGTGAGGGAGCAGAGAGGTCTCTGGGCCCTACCACGGCTCCCAGCAGGGGTGCCCACCCCCTTTTCTGTTTTAGAGCTTAGGTTCTCCTCAGAGAAAAATTCCCTGGCTTAAAAGAGTTTGAACACCCCTGGGAAAGTGGGAGTAAAACTTCCACTTTGGGAATAGCTGGCCTGGGCCAGACAGGCGCACTGGCCTCCTCAGGCCCTGAGAGAGGCTGCGGATGGGAGGGAGCCGTGTGGGAGGTGGGCCACAGGAACTGCCCTTCCCAAGAAGCCGGGAGGGCTGATTTCCCAGCCAGTCCCTCGTGCCAAGGTTTCCCTGACACTCTTGCTGGCATCTTGGCCATGGGGGGGGCGGGGTGTCGTATCCTGAGGGAGCGGGGGCAGCTGCAGAGCAAGCCCTGGGCTGGGCCAGAAGGCCAGGCATCTGCTCCCAGCCCTGCCGTGGACCTGTTGTGAAGCCCCTCACCCGAGCCTCTGTTTCCCTGTGGGAACCCAAGACAGGAGCAGTAGAGCATGATGGGAAACGCTCGGGTTTATTCTAACCTGGACCCTTGGCCTGGCCCCACTGTTGTCACCTGCTGGCCGTGGGCAAGTCACTTCACCTCCCTGGGGATAAACACTGGCCATCCTTTGGGTTTGGTTGGGTCACTGGAAGCAGGCTTGGGAACCAGAGATTTGTATGCAAGGGACAAGGGACATACTCTGAAGGTGTTCTCCAGAGAGGCTAAAGGGGCAGAAGCAGGGCCGAGAGGGGAGACGTCCAGAAGGGTGTGGCCCAGGACAAGAGCCAGCCTCAGCCAGGTTCCCAGGGGAACACGGGGTGGGAGTGGCAACTCCAGTTCTCCCCACTGAGGCAAGGAAGCTGGGATGCCACACTCATCAGTCACACCTCAGAGCCACTCCCAAGGTGGCCTAGCACTTTGGGAGCTTAGTGGATCCTTGAAAAGAATCACAGATATATTTGCTTAAAAGAAAGGCACACCAGGATGGTTAGCTGGTGTGGGGTGCAGTCGGAGAGGAGGAATAACCACTATGCTCAGCAGCACAGTAGGAAGACTGTGGCTGACAGCAATGAATTGTGTATTTCAAAATAGCTACAAGAGAGAATTTTGAATATTCAAATATATACCAGCACAAAGAAATTGGTAAATGTTTGATGCGATGGCTATGCCAGTTACCCTGATTTGATCATTACACAGCATATACATGTATTACAAGGTCACACCGTACCACATCAATATGCACAGTGATCATGTGTAAACAAAAAATAGACTTAATGCCAGGTGCAATGGCCCACACCTGTAATCCCAGCAGCTTGGGAGGCTGAGGTAGGAGGATTGCAAGAGGCCAGCCTTGGCAACTTAGCAAGTTCCTGTCTTAAAATAAAAAATAAAAACAACTAGAGGTGGGGTTATGGCTCTGTGGCAGAGCACTTGCCTAGTATTCGTGAGGCACTGGGTTCAATCCCCAGCACCACATAAAAATAAACAAATAAATAAAGGTATTGTGTCCATCTACCAAAAAAAAAAAAAAAAAACCTGGAGATGTAGCTCCAGGATAGGGCATCCCTGGGTTCAGTTCCCAGTGCAAATAAATAAAATTTTAAAAAATATTTTTTTAGTTGTAGATGGACACAATGCTGTTATTTTACTTATTTATTTTTATGTGGTGTTGAAGAAAGAACCCAGGGCCTCACGCTTGGCAAATGCTCTACCACTGAGCCACAACCCCAGCCCACAAATGCATAAATTTTTAAAAATTTTAAAAGGAAGCCCATGGAAGCCAGGGGTGGGTACAGGAAATAGGGACCCAGGAGATCTAGACAAGCCCCCAGTGTCCTCTCTATACCCCGTGAAGTTGCTACCAGGACTAAGTGACAGAACTCACTAAGCCCCTAGCCTGGCAAGTGATGGGAGCTCACAAGGGAGGATCTGCAGCCCCTGGGACTAGTGGGTGCGCAGGCCCAGGCTGACCCCTTTGAGGCTGTGGGTTCCGAGGTTCCTCACTGGGCCTTGCGGAACCCTTCCCCTTCCCCTGCAGCTGCAGTCTATGGTGGATCTCCTGGAGGGCGCTCTGTACAGCATGGACCTGATGAAAGTGCACGCCTATGTCCACAAGGTGGCCTCCCAGATGGACACACTGGAAGAGGTAAGGACGGGCTCCTGCCAGGGCCAGGCTAGTGCAGTGCTGGGGGCTGAGGGCAGGGTCCACCTGGGCAATTCTGGCTTGATCCTGCTGGGCTTTGGGATCTGGACTCCAGGAGGGATTTGGGGGAGGGAGGCGAGGCCCAAGGGGTCCAGCCTTTGGAGAAGAGGTCTGATTGCAGCTCTAGGGCCTATAGGGAGCTGGAAGCTTAGATGGGGAAGCCAAGGCACCTGCTGTTGTAGGAGAGAGGTGCACAGAGACTGGCACTTGCAGTTGCCCTCAGTGAGCCAAGGTCAGGCCCCACACTGCATAGCTCTGAGGGAATCACTCACAGAAGTGGCCAGGTCGGTGGTGCTTGCTGGATGCATACAATATGGCAGGTCTGGCTAAGCTGGCTGGGGCTGGACTCAGGACAGCATGACTGTCCCAGAACCATCCGTGGGGAGACCAAAGTGCTAACTATCCTGCCTATTCAGGGTAAATCTGCTGTAGGGCTGGGCAGACAGCCAGGACTACCCTCTGGGGACAGGGAGAGCCTTAGATGAGCGTGGGGGTCCAGGCTACAGGTTCAAGGGTTGCTGGCCTCTCTGTTGGCATAGCCTGGCCTCCTCCCATTTCCTGCATCCGGTCTCTGCTGAGCCACTGGGTGTCTGGGAGCCTGCAGCTGCCAGGAGCAGGCGTGGGGGCTTCCTTTCCCAGCTTCCTTTACAGAGAGAGAGGGCACCTGGGCATCCTGTGCCCCAGAGTGGGAGATTAACCCCTTAGCCCAAAGCTTTGGTCACAGTGGCTTTAAAGATTCAAAAAGTGTTTGGTGAGGTCTACTGTTGGCCAAGCCCAGGCCTGCGTGGGGGAGAGCTCACGCTTGTTGAATTCATTCTGTGCACCTGTATTTCCTGTGTACCTGGCACAATCCAGGCTCTCCTGGTGCCAGCTCTGAGGCTCTCCTCCTTTGACCTTTCCTCTTGTAATCTCAGGAAACACTAACCCGCTTCACGTAACTGAGCCAGATGATCTGGAAGGTAGTCTGCTGAGCCTGGAACAAATCAGAAATGATTTCCACAGCCACAGAGAAATGATTGTTTAATTGTCTTCTGTTTTGCATTATCTGTGCTATGTTTTTGTTAACCGTGGTTTGCTAAGTGATAAACCTACGGGACAAAAAACAGCTCTTTGCTATCTCTGGGAGGGAGTGGAGAGAGCAGTCTTTCTCAGGAGAAGCTGGCTCCCTCTGCCAAGGGGAGGACCCTGCCAGGGTGTCAGGTAGCAATGTGGGGTCCCAGCTTTCCTCTGTTCTCCTCCACCAGTGGTTCTCAGCCAGGTGTGATTTTTGTCCCCCTCAGCCAGCAATATCTGGAGACATCTTGGGTTGCCAAGATGCCACTGGCTTCTCGTGGGTAGAGGCCAGAGATGCTGCTAAATACCCTGCAATGTGCAGAACTGCCCCCTGCATCAAATGGCCACCTGGCAAATGTCAATAATGCTGACTATTGTGGAGAAGTCTGCCTTACAACTTTTCAACTTCTGCCTTAACTGTCATCACAGTTTAAAATGCACGTGCCCCCAACCTAGATGCCTATCAATAGATTAATGGGTAAAGAAACTGTGGTTTATATACACAATGGAATATTACTCAGCATTAAAAGTGAATTAAAATTATGGCATTTGTAGGTAAATGGAAGGAGTTGGAGAATATTATGCCAAGTGAAGTAAGCCAATCCCAAAAAACCTAAAGGCCGAGTGTTTTCTCAGATTAGTGGATGTTGATCTATGATGGGGTGGTGGGGGGATGGGAAGAAGGAAGGAACTTTGGGTGGGGCAAAGGGGAGGGTGAGGAGAGGTTATCGGGAAAAGATGGTGAATGATGGAAAGACAGTGGAATGAGATGGTCATCATTACCCTGGTACATGTATGATTGCAGGAATGGTGCGTCTCGACGTCATGTACAACCAGAGAATTGAAATGTTGCGCTCCATATGTGTGTGCGGTGAATTGAAATGCATTCTGCTATCATGTACAACTAAGTAGAACAAATTTTAAAAATTAAAAAAAAAAAGAAATCAGGACCTTAAAAATATAAAATAAAATATAACATAATAAAATGCACGTTCCCATTCCTTAGCTTTTCTGGTCCTCACAGTGACCCTGCATCTTAATGGGGATCCCCATTTTACAGGCAAGGAAGCTGAGACTCAGAGAAATATCATCACTCACCCAAAGTTACCCAGTCCACAAAGTGGAGAGGAAGGATTTGAATCCACGTGTATCAGTCTCCTGGCTCCCCCTGGTTGGTGCCTAAATCTGAGTCCCCCAGGGCTGACTGGACATGAACCACTTTAAGGTTCTAGAATGGTTTCTGAGTGAAATTTGAAATGAAACTCAGATGCTCCTTGGCTTCTCAGCAAAGTGCTCCCTGGAGCTCTCTCCTGCCTCAGCTCAGAAGTAGTTTCTGACATACCCAGGCCTGTTGGAGTCTTGGGGATCTTACCGGCCCACCCAGCTTCCCTGAGTGCTGTGCAGTGGGCAAGGCCAACCTGGACAGCAGCCCAGCAGGATCCTGAGGTTACGGAGGACTCAGAGTGAGGAGCATCTTGGTTCTGAGCAGTCGTTGCCAGCAGGATTTAGAACCAGGGGTAGACTCCGGATGGGCTGGGAGCTGCTAAAGTTAGCCTGGGCAGCAGGGCCCCAGCAGGAGGAGAGGCAGGGCTCAGGGCTGTGGGAGGACCCCCAGGCCCAGGAGACTGCCCCACAGCAGAGCCCCAGACAGTCTACTCCAACTACATTGTTTAAGTATGTTATAAAAAGAAGGTGTTTATGGGCTGGGACTGTAACTCAGGTAAAGCATTTGCCTAGCTTGTTGGAGGCCTGGGTTCCATCCCCAGTACTAAGAAAAAGAAGAAGGAGAAAGGCATATATTTATGTATTACTTGTAATGTTAAAAAATACTTTTAAAATAGCAAAAGGTCAAAAGCAACTTAAGTGACCGTCCCTAAGGGCTAACTAAATTCTGGCTGTGCATACAGTGGTACAATGAGTGGCCATTAAAAGGAACAGGGGCCAGCCTGTAATCCCAGCAGCTGGGGAGGCTGAGACAGGAGGATGGTGAGTTCAAAGCTATTCTCAGAAAAAGTGAGGCACTAAGCCACTCAGTGAGACCCTGTCTCTAAATAAAATACAAAATAGGGCTGGGATTGTAGCTCAGTGGTAGAGCACTTGCCTCGCATGCATAAGGCACTAGGTTTGATCCTCAGCATCACATAAATAAAATAAAGATATTGTATTTGTCAACAAATAAAATAATATATTTTAAAAAATACAAAATAGGGCTGAGGATGTGGCTCAAGTGGTAGCACACTCGCCTGGCATGCGCGAGGCACTGGGTTTGATCCTCAGCACCACATAAAAATAAAATAAAGATATTGTGTTCACCTAAAACTTAAAAAAAAGAATATTAAAAAAAGCTAAATCTTTAAAAAAAATACAAAATAGGGCTGGGGATGTGGCTCAGTGGTCTAGTGCCCTTGAGTTCAATCCTTGATACAGAAAAAAAAAAAAAAAAACAGGGAGCACTATATAGCTATATAGACAGATATGGAACAGTTCTCAAAATAAGCTGTTAAATGAAAAAGAAAAGTTTTGAAAAGCTATATGTGTATATGCTTTTCTGGGGGTACTGGGGATTAAACCTAGAGATACCCTAGCACTGAGCTGCATCCCCAGCCCTTTTTATTTCTTATTTTGAGACAGGGTCTTGCTAAGTTGCTGAGGCTGGCCTCATGATCCTCCTGCCTCAGCCTCCTAAGTCCTTGGGATTACAGATGTGCCCAGAGCCTGGCTGTACATATACATTTGTCCCTGTCACTGTACAGACTCTTTAGAAGGACGTGCAAGAAATGCATAACGATTGTCAGCACTGAGAAATAAACAAGGCTGAGAGGAAGATATATATTTTAGACCCATTTATTTACATCTTTTTAATTTAGTACCATAAACGTGTATTATCTATATTTTCATTCCTTCACTTGTTAAATTTAAAACATGAATAGCCACCAGGCCTCCTAGTCCATGCTTTGTTCCACCTGGGTTTTCCCGGTGTCATCCCTGCTTGGGCCCCTACCCGCTGCCCCAGCCCAGCCCAGGAGACTGGGCAGCAGGGCTGCATGGCCAAGCTGGGGCATCCCTCTGAGATGGGGACTCCGAGAAAGCGGGCCAAGGAGTGACCTTCATCCTGCCCCACAGAGCATCAAGGCCAACCTGAGCCAGGAGAACGAGGTGGTGAAGGAGAGCGTGCGCCATCTCACTGAGCAGCTCAAGAGCTACGAGAACCACTCGGACATCATGATGAGCATCAAGAAAGAGCTGTCCAGCCTGGGCCTCCAGCTGCTGCAGCGGGATGCAGCTGCTGTCCCTGCCGCTGCCTCTGCCACGGGCCCCGGTAGCAAGGTTCAGGTAAGGCTCCAGCTCTGACCACAGGCCAGAAGGTGACAGGAATTGGTGATGGGGACACAGGGCACCAGGACTTAGCCCTCAGGGCCAGCTTCGGGTAGGCTTGGGGCTGTGGGACAGGCTGGAGGACAGGCTGGAGGGTCCACCACGGCAGGCAGGGCGAGGGTGGGGGGCTGCTCTGGGCCCGCTGGGGCAGATGTGCAGGTTTGGCCAACGGGCCAGTCAGGTGTTTGGTAATATTCTTATTCCCAAATTTCCAAACTAGTAGGGTTAGAGTTGTGGACTAACACTCCCCATCTGGCCTCAAGAGACCAGGTCATCTCTCCTGCAAAACTGCCTTGAGCCACCCCAGCTCTGGCCAGGTTCCTGGCTGAGTTGTGCCTATTCAGTGGGATGCGGGCAATGCCTCTGTAGAGTGACCCTGTAGAAAGACACCAGTTCCCCCACCCGTCCCATCTTCAAGCTCAGCACAGGGTGCTAACGTGTCTTAGTGCAGATTTGAGAAAGGTCCACCCTGCAGGCACACTGCAAAATAAAGTCCTTGCACTGGACAGGTCAATTACAAAGAGAGGCGCCTTTGGGTGGATAAATTGAGCAGTGTCCTTCCTATGATGGACACGTGTCCGGGCCCCTCAGTCAGTTGCCCGCCTGCCTGGGGGCAGGACACAGCGCAGTGACCTTGGTTTTTGGTGAGCAGCAGAAGCCACCTGACATTGCTGGAATTCCTGCTCTGAACCTGACTTTCTCATAGATGTTATCCATTAATTCCAGAGCCACCTTGGAGGAGGGTTGGCCCTGGCTGTTTGACAGACGAGAATGCAGGGAGAGTGGTCACGCAGAGAGCAGGTGGCTGAGTGACTGCCAAGCCCCAGCCCTTCCTCCCCACCTCTCAGCCTCCTGTGCTGACATTGTGATAGTGGGGCCATTTGTAACTGCAGCCGGGACCGCCTGAGTACTGAGAAGGCACAGAGGAAGCCTGTGCCTTGGCCCAGAGCTGGCTTCCTGCTCTTTCCAGTGCCAGCTCCGCAGGCGCAAATGAGTGCTGTTTTGGCAACCGCACAGAGGCAACCCGATGCTGTGCTCGCCATATCTGCCGGAGCTTCTGGCTAACAATGGGTGATGTCACAGGTCCTGTGTTCTTGTGCCAAGCCAGCATCAGAGGCATTTGAATAGGAAGTGAAAATAACAAAATCACAGACATTAGAAGTGGCACGTCCTGGGGTAGTGGAACCAACTGCACCAGTTTGCCTGGGACTGAAGGGTTTCACAGGATGCAGGGCCTTCATTGCTAAAACTGGGAGTTCTGGACACATTAGGAATAGGTGGTCACCCTGCATAGGGACCCAAGAACCTCTCGCATGCCCACACACTAAGACCAGTAAGAGAGGCCAACCTGGGAAGCAGGCAGGTGAGGCTGCCTCTTAGGGGCCAGTCTTATCTACCCCCAGGCGAAGAGAGGACAGAAATTGGGAAGAATGGGACAGGAATCTAACCTATCAGGTCGGATCTCAAGTCTGCAAGGGAACTAGAGAGCTTCAAGGAGAAACGGAGGCAAACCAGTCAGGGGTGTTGCCATTGTAGGAGGGAAGGAACGCAATGCCTACGAACACCTGGGATGTAGGGTTTGAAACAACATGACCATCCCCAGCCCCCACATGCTGTGCTCTCATGACCCCCACAACATTCTCTCTACTGTTTCCCAAGCCTGAGACTTCCCTTCTCGCCCAGGACACAGCTGGAGGGAAAGGCAAGGATACCAACAAATATGGTGGCATGCAGAAGAGCTTTGCAGACAGGGGCCTCCCAAAAGTGCCTAAGGAGAAGCTGCTGAAGGTGGAGAAGCTGAGGAAGGAGAGCAGCAAGGGCAGACTCCCCCAGCCCACAGCCAAGCCCCGAGCTCTGGCCCAGCAGCAGGCCGTGATCCGGGGTTTCACCTACTACAAGGCAGGCAGGCAGGAGGCCATAGCTGGTGAGTTGGAAGGGAGGAGGAATTTTGGGGAGTGGGTCCTTGCTGAGAGACGGCCTCCTTCAGGGATCCTCCTGTCTTCTCTGCACCCAGATGGCCCCAGATTCCAGCTCCATCCCTTGCTTACCTGTGGCTCCCCTTTGTTCATCCACATGGGGCCTAATACCCTCTCAGAGGGTTGTTGGGAATAAAATGATAGGCCCCCGAGGGGTGTCCTAATCCTACTCCCCCTTTCTGGGTCCTGCTGACCACTTTGTCCAGTGAAACCCTCTGTGGGGCCCATGTCCAAGCTGGGAGGGAGGTGGGACAGTCAGGTTCCTGTTTCCTTCAACACCCCCTTGTTTTTTGGCCTCTCAGAGCTCAGGGGTTTCTTCCCCCAAACCCTGGTGCCAGCTGCTGTCCATGATCCCTGCCATGTCAGCCTGGCCACAGCACAGGACCCCTGACCCTGGCTGGGCCACTGCCCAGGAACAGCTGCAGGCATCTGACTCTACCAGCAAGACCCGTGGGAAATGGGCCCTGGGAGGCTGCCGAGGCCAGGTCCCCTGCAGCTGCCCCTGACTAGAGGGACTGTGCCCTGGAATTGAGTCTAGGACATGAAAGAATTGGTACAAAGTGCTCGACACTGAGAAAAGGGAGGAACCTCGTGTTTGGAAGCACACATTTGCGAGGACCTGTATAAACATTTTATATATATTTTTCCTCTAACCAACACAGAAGCCTACACTGGTGGGCCTCGTGGTGCTCTTTTCACACAGGTGGAAACTGAGGCCTCCAAGGCAGGAAGACTTGCCCATAAAAACTGTCCCACAGTGGGGGCGGTGGAGCTGGGCCTGGGGCCTGCCCGCTGGCCAGGAAGACCTCCCGCCTCCCACTTCAGAAACTTTCACTTCCTCCCATGTGGGGGGGACCTTTAGGAGGCCTCTCCTTCCCTGGCCCATGGCTCTGCAGATGCCTGGGGGGCCTGGGGTGAGCGGGAGTCTTCTCTCTACAGACAATGCCCTCAAGGGCACTTCCTGGTTGGAGCAGCTGCCACCCAAGGTGGAGGGCAGACCCCCCGAGGGCAACTCTGCAGAGCCGGAGCAGGACAAGGCTGGACCAAGGGCCACAGAGGGAGTCAACCTGGGTCCCGACACCCCCACCTCATACCCTGCCACCATCACCACCACCACCAGCCCAGCCCCCACCACCACCACCACCAGCCCAGCCCTCACCACCAGACCCCTGCCCACAGAGCCACCTTCACGCCCAGAAGCCCCTCGCCAAGGTGAGTAAACCTCATGGGGATCAGCGGACTACAGCCCGTGGCCAAATCCAGCTCACGGCCTGTTTGTTGGGCCTTCAAACTGAGAAAGGTTTTTACATTTTTAAAGAGTTATTAGAGCTGGTGAGACATCGTACTCCTGTGATACCAGGGACTTGGGAGGAGGCAGGAACATTCCAAGTTCCAGACCAGTGAGGGCAATTTCATGAGCCCTGTCTCCAAAAATAAATGAATACCTACATAAACAGGGCTGGGGGTGTAGCTCAGTGGTAGAGCGCCCTGGGTTCAATCCCCAGTACTGCGGGGGGATAATCCAGCATGTATTTTCATTTCTCAGTTTGGCAAGCCTGTCTGTCTGTTGTTTTTGCCCTGCTGGGAATTGAACCCAGGACCTCAAGCGCCCAGCCAGTGCTCCGCCACTGAGTCGTACCCCCAGCCCTCTCTGACTGTTTTTATGTCCGCACATACTTTTGACTTATGTCGCAGAGTAGAAATCGGCAGGGAACCATCGATCTTGTCCCTGCTTGGTCTGGTGCTTGCGCTGGCAGGCCTCTCTCTTGAAGGATCCTCCAGCATCGTGGACGACAGCTGCCTCACGGTGCTACTTCTAATGTCAGAAAACTGGAAACCTAGAGCACTGACACTGTGGGGAGGTTAAATAAAGTAAAGGGCACAGCTGTCTGGTGGCCGGACAAGACCCAGAAACCACATCATTAACAGGCTATTTGATGAGGTGAGAGATTGCTCGGTGGAAAGAGAAAACAGAATGCAAACCGTGTGTTGAGGAGAATCAGGGTCGTGAGGTACGTCCGCAAGGCTTACACGCAAAGGAAAAAAGAAAAGGAAGGAAATACGGCATGGTTAATAATTATTTGGATAATGAAATTCTTTTTAGGACTTTATTTTCTTTAAGGATTCTTAATTTTTAAAAATTTTAATGGACAAATAAAAACTGTGTATAGGTATGGTGTACAACATGATGTCTGGATACAGGCATACATACAGAAAGGCTACATCAGACTAGTCATCATGTGTTGGACCTCACATACCAGTTTTTGTGTTTAGAACACTTACAATCTACTCTCTGAGCAATTTCCAAATACACAATGTACCAAACTCATTCCTTCATCCAACTAAACTGAATCCTTTGAGCACCACTTCCCCATCCCCTGCCCCCTGGTCATCACCATTCCACTCTCTGCTTCTGTGAATTCGACTTTTCTAGATTCCACCTATAATAGATGTAAGGAATTTTGAGTCCTATTTACTTTCTCCATTCTCCTTTTCTGAATGTTCCATGTTTCATGTTTTCTTTTCTTTGTTTGTTTGTTTGTTTTTTGGGTACCAGGGATTGAACCCAGGGGCACTTAACCACTGAGCCACATCCCCAGCCCTATTTTATATTTTATTTTGAAACAGGGTCTCACTGAGTTGCTGAGGCTGGCTTTGAACTCACAATCCCCCTGTCTCAGCCTCCTAAGATGCTGGGATTATAGGCATGTGCCACCGTGCCCAGCAATGTTCCATGACCAGGTTCCAATGACCAGGCATTGGTAGATCATGGGGAAAGAAAAGGTCACAAACAAAACATCAGGAAGGACTTAAGTTAGACCCAGATCTCGATCCCTGGGTCATTGCTCTGGCTTGGAGCCTGTGGGCCTACGTACCAGATCCTGTACCTTTTGTTCCCCAAAGGCAGGGAGGCCAGCTGCGAGGGCACCCTACGGGCTGTGGACCCCCCCCGTGAGGCACCACAGCTATGGGCGCCACGAAGGGGCCTGGATGAAGGACCCTGCGGCTCGGGATGACAGGATCTATGTCACCAACTACTACTATGGAAACAGCCTGGTGGAGTTCCGCAACCTGGAGAACTTCAAGCAAGGTCAGGGACCAGGATGTGGGAGGGGGCAAGGTGTGGCAGCCTGGGGACAGCCCCTGGAAACTTGGCCCTCCTTTACCTTGTGATTTCCTGTGGTCCAGCCAGGTCTAGCTCCCCATCATCAGCTCCCCTAAGGAAAGGAGTCTGGGGGCGCTGCATGGGGGGCCCAGCAGACCCCATGGCACCTGGCGTGCTGGCACTGTGCCAGGAGCTACTCTGCAGGGGCAAACAAGTCAGATGCAGCCCTGCCTCAGGAATATGACTTACCACTGAGGGGGACAATGAGTGTCTTCTGGTCGAGTGCCTGCCGTGGGCTGATTACCCACACGTGCCAGCTCAGGGCATCTCCTAAGTCTCTGGGGTGAGAGTTATCTCACAGGTGAATAGGCCCGGGGCCTGGGATCTGAAGGGCTGTTAGCATAGGGAAGGGCAGAATTTCAGTTACCAGATCTGGGGCCTGATGGGGGAAAGGGACCACTTAGACATGGCCTGCCCTCCAGAGGTCACAGTCTGCAAAGGGAGGCAAAGGCTTGAAGAGACAATTTCAGGATAGCCTTAGAGGAGTGCAGCTTCTGGCGCTGTGGGAAGCCAGGCTGGAGGTCAGGGTAGACTCCCAGGGGCAGCAATGGGCTGAGCAGAGTCCTGGAGGAAGAACAGGAGGGAGCCAGGCAAACAGCACTGGCAATGACAGGAAGCGTGTGGCTTGGGGTTGGCGAGGCCTGGGGGAGGCCCCCGAGCACCCTGAGAGCCATGGAGTCAGAGAATAGACCAGAATCCCTAGGTCTTTCTTCTGCCAGCTCAAAATTGACCTGGTCTCTCCTCGAGCAGCTCACAGGCTGGTGGAGAAAACCAGTGATAAGAGCGAAGGTGAAGGGTCACAGGAGGCCAGAGGCAAGGTGCTTCAGCGCAGCCTGGGGAGGTGAGGGAAGGCTTCCTGGAGAAGGTCCTGTTGGTTGAGTGTCCTGAAAGATAAGCAAGCATTCCCCACCCAGACCCGGGGGAAGGAGGGGGAACAGACAAAAAGATCAGCATGGGCAGAGGCCCTGGACTGGCATCACTCTGCAGGGTGAGCCATTCCACGGCTAGGGACCCTCTGAGCCTGTGTCCTCGTCGGCACAAGGACGGCGTCAGCACCTCCTCATGGCCCCGTGGTGATGGCATAGGATGCTGGGTCCAGGCCCAGGCACATGGTACACTCTGCGTACTAAGTGCTTTGCCCACACTTCCGAGCCCTTGCTGATCTCTCGGGGTGCACAGTGGGCTGGGGGTCGTCCAGGAGGCTCTGGTGTGACCGTGGCCCTCCACTGTGCAGGCCGCTGGAGTAACATGTACAAGCTGCCCTACAACTGGATCGGCACTGGCCACGTGGTGTACCAGGGCGCCTTCTACTACAACCGCGCTTTCACCAAGAACATCATCAAGTACGACTTGCGCCAGCGCTTCGTGGCCTCCTGGGCGCTGCTGCCGGACGTGGTGTACGAGGACACCACACCCTGGAAGTGGCGCGGCCACTCGGACATCGACTTTGCCGTGGACGAGAGCGGCCTGTGGGTGATCTACCCCGCCGTGGACGACCTCGACGAGGCTCAGGACGAGGTGATCGTGCTGAGCCGCCTGGATCCCAGCGACCTCTCTGTGCACCGGGAGACCACGTGGAAGACGCGGCTGCGTCGGAATTCCTACGGGAACTGCTTCCTGGTGTGCGGGGTCCTATATGCTGTGGACACCTACAACCAGCACCAAGGCCAGGTGGCCTACGCTTTCGACACCCACACGGGCACCGACGCTCGGCCGCAGCTGCCCTTCCTCAACGAGCACGCCTACACCACCCAGATCGACTACAACCCCAAGGAGCGGGTGCTCTACGCCTGGGACAATGGCCACCAACTCACCTACACCCTCCACTTTGTGGTCTGAGCGGGGACCTGTGTTCACAGGAGAGGCCACAGTGGGCACGGGGACTCCCCCAGCAATTCCTGCAACCCACGGTCAGCAAGTATTTCTTGGAGCATCCGGGGCTGGGGGCTGGGCCTGTGGTAGCAGCCAGGAGAGCACCTCCTCAGCACCCAGCCAGTACACTCTCTTCTTTGTGCACAGCACATGCCAGGAGGTTGACAAGCACTTAGCCTTTGGATCCTCCCCTCGCCTCCCTTGGAGGTGGAGGTCATCAAGCCCATTTTACAGATGAGGAGAATGAGGCCCAGAGAGATAGCAGCCCAGTTGGGATCAGGCAGGCTGTGTTCCTGTTATTTTGCAGAAGAGGTGATTTCACCAAGCTCTCCCCCACCTCCAGCCCTCTCCCCTTATCTCCCCTGTCCTCCCAGCCTCCCTTCCCACCCAAAGCCAGAGAGGCTTTTGGGGCCAATGCACTGGTGTTCCACCCCCGGCCCTTGTTCTGGTTGAGCTATTGGTGGCCTTGGGCTTTGGGTCCCTGGGCCAATGTCTTTGCTTCTTGTCTTTGGCCAGCCCCCCTACCTCACCCCACCCTCTGTCCAGCCACATTCCGAACCTCCACGTCACCTAGCCACTGAGCAGAAACCACGCCCCAAGAGAAAATCCTGGCCGCTGTCCCGAGGCCCCTCCCTCCTGCCCTCACTCCTATTCGCCCTTGTTCTTCAGCAGCAGCTTGTGTTTCTGCAGCAGCTGGGAAGGCCCCAGGCAGCTGGCCGAGCCCTGTCCACCCAAAGCACTGGCTTAGGCCTTGGGTCCCCTTCCTGGCCTTTCCTGTGGGGACTAGGGTTCTTTCTCTCTGGGCCTTCAAAGCCACAACCTATACACACTCAGGGATACCCCCAGGTCTGCCATGAGCAAGGCCCTCAGCCCAGGTGGCTGGTCCAGGATGGCGCGGGTCCCTCTTCCTGGTCAGTCTTGGCCTGATCACTGCTGGGGCACGCAGGTCTGAGCAGCGAGCTTTTCCTGGCTTCAAAATATTGGGGCCAGGGCTGCCTCGAGCCCAGGATTTGGGGCTGAGGATTCCCAGGTGGGCCACTGGGTCTGGTGCTTCTGGAGGCTTCCCAGAGTCTCAGACCCGGGCAGCCCAGACCTTTAAATGACAAGACCTTTAAACCTGATGCTCATTCCTTCAGACAGTAACTTTAGAGCTGAAAAGAAGCTCTAAAGGAAGCTGCCTTGGATTCCTCCCTAGCCACTTAAAGAAATTCCCTTTTTAGTCAAAAAGAAAATAGGCCCCCAAAGGCTTAGAAGATGGCTTCGAGGCACACACAGCCAGTCTCCTTCCAGAAGGGCTTTGTCTATACCCTTTTTCTCCTGGCTCAGAGCAGCTCTGCCTGGAAAGGTAATCGGCGGCACCCAAGCCACCTAGCACCTTTGAAGGTACCCATTGCCAATCCCTACTGCCCCTGGACCTGCTCCCTTCCCTGAGCCCACCTGCCAGCTCCCTGCATTTCTGTAGATTTGAACACCCAGTTGCCCTGTTAGGGAGTTCAGCCGCCCGGCCAAGAGGGCGAGGAAGTGCATTTTGTTCGGAGAACATTTCTCCCACCATTGTCAGGTGATATTGATTTGCTTAAGCTAAAATTCACCCTGGAATCTAAAGGGACAATGACACCCAACCAGGCCAGGTCTGACTCATAGAGGAGGACACATCCAGCCTCCCCCACCCAACTTAGCCTCTTCAGGGGGCTGCGGGGCCTGGCCTTTCCCTTGGCCCTGGGTGTGGGTTTTACAAGGCTGTGTTTGTGATGTCATAGCCCAGCCATGTGAGTACAGGCCCCATTTCTTCATTAGTCTGAGACAAGGGAGCATTCGAGAGGGCTGGTTTTGAAAACTTAAAGGACAAGCAGCCTTGTTCTCCAAGGGACATGATGCTGGTCACGGTCCCCAAATATGCACCGGGCCCTTTCCGTTTTCAAGGCCCTTGTATGTGCTTTATGTGCTAAGGACAGCTCTTTTCCTCATTTACAGATGGTCACGCAGGAGTCCAGAGACTGTCACATGGGCAGCTGAGGGGAGGTTCAGTGTTCAGAGTCAGGTGATAAAACAGTGCCACCCACAGGTCCTGTCCTCCTGACACAGTGGAAGATAAATACTCTGAATGTGACCATTTTATAAGCAAGGACACTGAAGTCACACAGTAGCTTAGCCTGTGGCAGACTTGGGGTTTCAGAACGTTTTCTTTGCCACCTGTGGCCACTTTAATGGCAGCTCCAGAAGCAGTGGTCATTGCTCTTATCCAGTGTGGCCAGGAGGGGAGCCACAAGAAGGGGATTGGGGCCAGCTTGTACAGAACCTTGCATGCCAAGCGAGTCGTGTCTGGAGCAAAGTTGAATTTAAATTGGCAGAGAAAAGGCAATTTTAAGATGGATTCTAAATGGATTTTTTCCTGTCTGTGATTGAAGGTGGGGAAGGATGTGTGTCGTGGGGAACTGGCACCAGCCCGTATCTGCCAACTTGTAGGCTCTAAAGGAAACCTGACCCTGTCAGCTATTTTTTTTAAATCCATTTTGGGTTTTATTACATTTGGCAACAAGTACTTCAAACAAGGAAGGGCCTGGTCCAGGGAGGGCCACCGTTTCTTACTGACCTTGGCTGTGAAGCCAAAGGAATCGGTCTCATGTTTCCGAACAACGTGATGCGTGAAGGAGTTTTGGCTGCTGCCTTGGATTCCTCCCTAGAGATTTCCAGGCCTTATCATTATTTTTTTCCCCTCGTGCTGGGGGTGGAACGGGGGCCTGGCACTTGCTATGTAAATTCTCTATCACTAGGCCACACCCCCAGGCCCACCAGGTCCCCAGGCCCCCGGGTCCCCAGGTCTTGAATTTAATCTTCGGACTCTGGGGAGGAGGGAAGATGCCTCTGCCTTGGAGCAGCAAAGAAGGGGAAGTCAGGCAATTTTCCAGGCGGATATGAGAGTGCCTGAAAGCCCGTGTGTTCCAGAGCACCTTTTGCTCCATTGGAGACAGCTGTGGTTTCAGAAGGACACAGCACTGCGTGGCTGTCAGAGATGGGAAATGGTAGAAGCCCAGGTCTGGAACCCAGCCTCCCCTCTTCCATGCTACAAGCTTGGGCAAATTCTTTGCCCATGGGGAGGGACATTAACTCCTCATACAGCTGAGGACATGCAGCTTAGTGAGGACAGAGGGCAGCAGAAGACCCCCACAGTCCCCTCCGAGAGCTGGAAGGCACCTTGACATGTATTGTCACTCATCCACCCAAGATCCCCCAGGGTGGCATCGTTTCCCCCTTTACAGGTGATGAGCCTCAGGTTCAGAGAGGTTAGGTAGTCAGCTCAGGGTTCCTAACAGGTAGAGAGGCAAGATTTGAACCAGGTCGATTTTTAAACCAAAACTCCCAATTAACCATTGTTAAGAATCTTGTAACTAGTATGTTCTCTTCTTGGTTGTGGCTGCTGGAAGCTCAATGTCAAATTTGAGATCATTTTTAACAACTGTACTGAGTCTCCTGCTGGACTCACTCCATTCTAGCTTTCCGCTTGCTCCTTTGCCTTGATCTTTTTATTTTTATTCTATTGTATTTTATATATTTTTGTAAGTTGCCACAATACTTTTTTTGCATCAAGGTGGCCCATGTATAAATAAAATCCATCATTGAAAGCTTAATTTAAAAGTCTTAACTAAATACCGTGGTCTAGAGCTGGGGCATGGCTCAGGGGCAAAGGGCTTGCCTGGCCTGTTGGAGGCCCTGGGTTCCAGCCCCAGCACCAAATCAATCAATCAATAAACAATAAATGCTATGGTCTGTATCTTTATCATAACACATTTAATAACTTTCATTTGCTGTACAAAGTGGCCTTACTGCTCCATGGGTCCTAGGATCTAACAAGAACGATGAGCTACACAGAATTCAACTCTGGCTAAAAACTAGACCCTCTCCGGGAGAAGTAAGGTGTGCCATCATTAAAGGTGGGCAGACCCGGCCACCCAGTCACTGTCCCCAGCTTCATGTGAGGGCTGCAGAGAGAGAACTGCTGTTTCCACAAGCTTCTGGGTCAGGATGTGGAGCTGAGAGAGAGCTAAGAACAAAAGGAAGTACTTCCCGGGAAATTTGAGAGGAGCCTTGGAAAGCTCTTAAGCCTACGTTTCCCAAACTTCTGTCTCTTGGGTACCCTCCCCACAATTTTCGTCATCTCTTTTTCCCATCTGCAGGATGACACTGTTTCTCTTCAGATGATTCCATTCTGCTTACTAAAATAATTTTATTTCCAAAGGAAGCTTTATAAGTGGTCAGCCAAACGAAACACAACAATTTTTTTAAGGGAGGAAGTTTACATTACAATTATAAAAAGAAAGTCAGTATCAGTGACCACGAATACACAATGACCACAATCAGGGATGCTTTGTCGAAATCAAATGGCACTGTTACCTTCTGGTCTGCACTGTGCCTGCTAACCTCCAGGCCCAGTCACCTCCCTTTGTTTAAAAAAAAAAAAAAAAGAAGAAAAGGAAGCTTATGGCAAACCCAGGAGCTCAGGAGGCTGAGGCAGGAGGATCATGAGTTCAAAAGCCAGCCTCGGCAACTTAGCAAGGTGCTAAGCAACTCAGAGAGACCCTGTCTCTAAATAAAATATAAAAAAGGGCTGGGGATGTGGCTCAGTGGTTAAGTGCCCCTGGAGTCAATCCCCAGTACCAAAAAAAAAAAAAAAAAAAGTTTTTTATGGGGCTGGGCATGTGGCTCAGCAGTCAAGGGCTTGCTTAGTGTGGACAAGGGCCACACACTGGGGGAAAAAAAAAAGATCTGCAAATGTGGAGGGGTGTAAAGCTAAAGGGGACAGCAAACAGCAGCAGGAGGGCATGAATCGTCCTCAAGTAACTGGAGGGTGGAGTTGGAGGGAAGGGCCCTCTCCCCTATGACTCAGTGGCCCTTGGCGTGGTGGCTGAGGTACCACCCAGAGCTGTCTCGAACCAGCTGAGCGACACAGACTCACACCAACACATTCT